GCCATTCAAGTGTTTTAGTATATCGTTCAGTCACTCCCTACGCGCTATCCGCTAGCCGCTACGACCTCCGTTCTATGTAGCGTAGCGGAACCACCCTTTTAAGTTTTAGTCGAACGTTCGCAAACCCTCTACGGACTACAGCGTTACGAAAGCTAAAGCAACGCCACTAGCGGCTCTTTCGGACACTAGACTTGTGTAAAATAGTATTCGAAAGCAATTCTTCGCAATAATTTTATTAACGTCGTTTTCTTAATAAAATATATTGTTCTTTATTGAATAACGTGCTAATCGTTGCTTCTTTTGTAAGTAAATGACTATTATGTTTGTAATTGAATACAAATGAAGCGCCAAGCTGTCGAAGCTAGTCCGATATCAGTCAAGCGCCAAAGCCACCGAGAAAAATCTTCATAAATAAGTGACAATTACCGTGGCTCTCCTGTTGTGTTGTTCAACGAAAATGAAATTCCACGGAAATCCTCATATCCTCCTGCTCGCTCGCTTCCTTGGTCAGTTTTATCCTCACGACAAAGCGGCCGAGCAGGAGGCCGCACCCTTCGCTCGCAACACCGCAAACTGCTAAGCTTTTCTTCTTTTTTTTTAGTGGCCGTATTTATCATCTTTGCCAAGGAGCTAGATTAGAAGGGGAGGAGGGGGAGGGGGCATGACGTCAGCGGTGTAGCCTCCACAAGCATAGGGATGAAAGCACCCTACACAAGCCATGCTCCCTTATAGCCTCGCCTCTTTCTCTTTCTTATTCTCTGCCGCATCATTGATTTAATCGCTAGACAGCTCTGGTATCAGTTTCGGCCACCGCTCCCGCGTTATGTTTAACAGTCGAGCACACTGTACGTGTTTATTACTCGAGCGAAGATTTCCTCTGTGTCAACTTATCATAGACCGCAGAGGGCGCTACGAGCCGTCCCAGCCAATCCAGCGCTGAGAGAGTGTCACTTTATCCTCTGCGGTGTGCTATGCGAAGTTCAAGGTCATGTGATCCTCTCTCAGCCCTCGATTGGCGCAGACAGCCTCTAGCATCCGCTAGGTCCACTGTGCGGTGGAACGGAGCGTGGTATGAGGATGGGGGAAGTGAAATGCCTGGGGATCTTCTGACGAGGGGGATGGCACCCAGGCGTTTGGATGAGAGGGCAAAACAGGAGGGAGCTATCGGAGTGGTTCTGAAAAAACCGCTCGGGGCCGGATGCCCGGCGGTTTTCCGGGCGCGGGGAAGACGCGCTGGAATTCACGCGGCTCTGGTTAGTAGTAATAGTAAGGACTACACATGCACCCCTAACAGCATTGCTGGAACTCCAGCGGGTCCCCCACTGGGTCTCCCGATCCAGTGACTTTAGTAAAATCGAGACCGCCCCGGGCCTCTTTCGAAATTGCTCCTCCCTTCCCCAGCCGACAGTGAAAGGGAGCTGGGGGGGGGGGGGGGGGAAGGGGGGTGGCTCCAATATATTTTGGGGGCGGGGGGGGGGGGGGGTTCCAACCCCGAAACCCTCCCCCTGGGTACGGCCCTGCCCAATACTTACGCATTTTTACGGCGATGATTTCCGCGCTCGCCTGCAAATGATAGCTGCACTCTCATCGCTCTCATGTTATATCACACTACAATACGTTTGGCTTTTTCTTTTCGTTGCAGCCGCAACGAAAATTGAACCAGCTTAACTTGACTCGAGGTTGGGAGATGTCTTATTGACTATTGGAAGTGCACGGAGCACATCACACTCCATTTTGATGGGGTCCAGCCACCGCCGCGACCAACGGCCAAAATGCATCGTTTTCGCAGTTCGGCGACCGCCGGAAATCTAAGAGAATTGTTGACCAATTCTGTGTGTAATGCGTCCAGGGCTTACTGGTGAAAGGTAACCCCCCGCTGAAGAAAAGCCAGTCCGAATTCGGTAGCCAACCACGCTGTAAGCGCCCATCTCTTAGCCGGCGGAAATTTGTGTCCCGACGACGCCACGCCTTCGTTTTCTCCGTTGTGATTGCGTTGATTGCCCTGATCGTTACGTGCACAGGTCCCATGTACCAGCAGTGGTGCGCCGTCTGCTCGTGATCCGCCTCAACCACTTGTTTGCTTGCTTGCTTGCTTCACGTCTAGCCTTTGATCTGATAAAACCTACCGGACGGAGCGCGCGCAAGCCTGCAAGGAATGCTTCTACAATCAACCATCCATCTCGCATGTGACATGTTAGGCGCACAAATTGCCAGGGAGATCTACAGTCACGTTGGCCACAAATCGTTTAAACTTCTGATGACTAGGCTTCACAAATATTGCAACGTGCCCCCTCCTATTATTTAGAATCTCCTTGATGCTAGTCATAAATCGCTACCTGTTGCAGTCGTGAAAAGGCCTTGTCGCGGCTACTTCTCGCAGCAGCAAGATATAACCCACCCCTCAGTACCACGATCGCGAAGCACACAGACCGCACTGGCATGGCGTGGCGGCCATCTTTAATTGCATCCCTCGCTGGCTTTCCCAGCCCGTATCTCGTCAAGACTCATTCTCACGAGACCCACGCTAGCACGCCGCGCTACGCACCTCGCTATTTTCGTCTAATAGCGCGCCTCCGCTAGCCTCCGCAGCTCCGCAATGTTTCCGCTAGCAGCGCGCTTCCGCAGTACCGTCGTCGCTCTAGCGTTAAGAGTTTCCTCAACGACCGAACGTACAAGATCAAAGCCGGTGACTTCATCGGACCCGCTCAACCGAACAGGACCGGGGCACCGCAGGGCGCGGTCCTCTCGTCAACCTCTTCAACCTGGTCATAGCAATACTTCCCCCACTCCTTGAAGCGGTTCCGTCGCTGCGCTTCGCCGTATACGCCGTTGATGTCACCATCTGGGTAACGACAGGATCGGCAGACGAACAGGAGCACACGATTCAGCTTGGCCTCGACGACATACAGGCCTTTCTTCGGAATGTGGGCCTGACCGCGTCGGTCGAGAAGACCAAATACGTCGTGGTTCTCAACGGGCCCCACAGTAAGACCGAAGCGGTCCGTAACCAAATCGCCCTCAGCATAGCTGGCCAAAGGATACTCCGAAAACCCTCCATTCGAATCCTGGGGGCCTACATAGATCAAGATGGGAAAGGCACTACGTGGGTGACGAAAGTTGCCTTGCAGTGCAGTTCCCTCCTGTGCCTCGTTCGTAGAATCACCATCTGATAACCAATTCGCAACTGCGCAATCTCCATGAACTCCACCTCCAGCATCTCCCTGACGCGATCAACGAAATTTGAGCGACGGACAACTTTCCGAGCTCCTGGCGCGAATCCCTGGTGATACCGATCCCAAAACCGGGCATGCCACCGAATGAGTTCAAAAACGGCCGGAGGTTATTGGGGCACGCGCGAGAGAGAAACGCTCCAGCTCGTCACGGCGCTGATTGAATCCCGTTTCCTCTACGGCTATACCTATTACGGCCTCACGTCCAGGCAGGCGGAGTGACTCAAGAAACTCCATCGCGAAGCCATTCGCATCTTCATCAGACTGCCTAAGCACACGCCTCTCTGGGAGCTGCACGCCCACTGCGGCATGAACCTCCTGTCGGAACTCGCCGAACAGGCGCTCCTCGCTTAGAGAGACCGCCTCAGCAGCTCGACAGCTGGGCTTTCCATATTGGAAGAGCTCCGCGTGTCTTCCGGTCTGGACGTCCGCCCGGCAGACGCGCACTCGCCTCCGCCGTGGGCCGCCCGGTCACGCTTACCGACGGAAAACCCCTCCCTCGAAACGTGCGACCTGGACCGAGTAACTCGGAGCGACGCAAACGCTTTTGCCAAAGCGCACACACGTAGCGTCGCGCACAAATCACCGCATACGCACGCCATCATCTACACTGGTATGGCGGAAACCTTGCTGGCGACTGCCGGCGACGACGGCAAAGGAAAATACAGTTCCCCCAAGCACGTCCGCGGCGATCGCGAGGGCCGACACCACCCATGGCATTCCGAACGCGGCTCCACTTTCGACCACTGAAGACGTCGACACTACGCAAGCGGAACTCATAGCACTCCCCCGAGCATCCCAGTGGGTTCTTCAAACGTTTGCACTGACATCCCACACAGGCTCCTCCTACTGTTCACCGACTCGACCCGCGCGTACGAAAGTTACAGACGAGCGTACGGAAGCCCCTCAATGTACGCGGAAATAGTCGGCGAGTCGCTCGCCGCGTTCCTAGAACTTCGAAACAAGCTGAACATCCAAGCTACTATTTCCTGGGTGCCTGCCCGTGCGGGCATCGACGGAAACGAGTAGGCCCACAGCGAGGCGCAAGCAGCAGTTCCCCAGATGGCATCCGCTCCGAACGCATTCCAAACTCAGCCAGCGACGCAGCCGGCCCGGCTGCCCCGTCTGCCGTCAAGGAAAGTGCTAAACAGCGAAGGCGGAGAACCCTGCGGCACCTACGTGAGGAACGGGAGGAACGCCCAGACGAGCAGTTGCGTCCCGTTAAGCCGATGCCGAATGACCTACCGAGGAGCGAGTGTAGCCTTGCGACTACACTTGTCTCGGAGTGCGAGCAGCACGCTGGCTTTCGGAAAACGAAACTGGAGGGACTCCCAGACGAGATCCGTCCGTGGACGTAAGTCGATTGGATTCTGCCCAACGGTCGTGACAAGGCGCTCGTCTCCCTGTTGTGGAGTCGAGGAGGCGGAGTTCGTCTACGACGACGACGGCCCCGGCGGACGACTTTGCAGCAGCCAAAGGCGCTGGGACCAACACCCACCCAGACCGCCGTGACGGCAATGGCGGATCCTTAGGCCCGCACCGATGCAGACGACAATGGTGCATGATATGTGTTTATGGTATACATATACATATATTATATATAACAGTGCGATAAAGAACGTTCCAAAAATATCCACAAGAACCCTTGAGTAAACTTAGACGTTTAGTGTTGTAATTGGCCCTAGTGTCAATTTGTTCCGAAACGCTTGCTTAAAAGGTCCATTATTACGTGTGAATTGAAGATACAAGAGAATAGTATATGATAACCTGTTAACGTTTTAATGCACTAGTTTCGTCGTCTACTACTGAATCAGCCAGTGTCACGTTGTACGAGTTAAAAAATGTAGTCACACATTCCTTTCGAGCCTCGTCCTTCATACATAAGTGATGTTTAGTTGATTCCGAATTCTGATATTGCTGCATGAGGGGTAGAATAAACGTGTCAACAAGATGTGACACCCTAACATGTAGTGATGGCCCAGGAGGGTTGTAGCACTCATCGGTCACAGCATTAATAGCAGCAAGAAACCATTGTCCGTCTTTTTCGTACATCAAAGGTCCTCCGCTGTCTCCCTGAAAAAAAAAAAAAAGATTTATTATTAAACTATTTTCGGAAAACTTATCTAAATAAAGCGGAGACATCATCGGAACAAATTCTTCCAGCTGATTCAGGGCAGCAAATTGGTGTCTCACGCCATACTAACTAACTTCACTTTTTCGTAACATTATTTTTGGAATATATGTATACGTTTTTGGCCCCTACGTTCAGGTGAAAAAAAAAAAACAGTTGCTGAAGTAAAAACGGTTGCCGCCCTAGGTCAACGTTCCGCTCAGGGACACCAATTTGCAATCTGCATGCGAATAAGATTGTACATCAATTGTGTGTTTCTTTACAAGAATGGTGTTGCCGAGATAGCATGCTTTCTGGGGTATACGCCAATACCACTATAAAACTGTCCGAACGTACTCTGTGCGGTTTTATAAATTTCAAAAAGAAGCATAATAAATTATTTCTAAGGCGTGACTAAACGAAACCTGTTTATGTCGCGTCACGTACAAAGGCGAACGAGGAGTCCGATAAAGTTGAACTCATCTTGATGAGCACAGATAAACGTACATGAGAGAAATCATTCAACTTCTCCGCAATTCCAGTTTATAGTGGACGCCATTGACAACATGGTAGGTGCGATTGGGTGTCCGTTTAAGGTGAGCCTGATCATGAAGGGCTTGTTCTCGCAAAATTCAAAATGCCTGACTTGAAAATCATGTGATAAGCGCTACATTTAGTGGCCCGTTGCGCACGCTGCATAGAGCCATTGGGAATATTAAACGCTTCAAGCTCTCTTCTGTTATGTTTTTGTTACACGATAACGCTGGTCATCATGTTGCGACCATTGTACTGAATGCATTAGCTCAGATAGGGTGGGAGGTTTCCTCTATCCAGATGACATACCGGTCATGTCACCATGTGACTTTCAGTTTCCCGAACCCTTTAGGTGAGGCTAAAAGGACCACAATTCTACTCCAAAGTACACGTCATTGCTGTTTTTACCGATGGTTCAAAAAGACAACATAATCCTTTTTCGCGATTCTATCCGACAACCTGTCCAAGCAGGGGGAAGCACGGGAGAATGTGTGAAGTGGCTTCTCTGAGTGAACTCCGATGAATTCCTGTTTTCTTCCAGAGGGTGTTTAAATGTCACTCTAACGGTACTGTGTCGACGGCGCATTCATCGTGGATGTGCTGTTGAACCAGTTATGATGTGACTGAAATGAACACGTACATTCTCCTTAGCGTCATTGTGAACGTTTGCGGCGTTATTCCTTCGCGCAGATTCAAAACTGCCCTTCCATTCACCCTCCCCCCCCCAAAAAAAAACAACAACAACAACAAACGAACAAACAAAAAAAAAACAGGAAGCGAAATGAAAGATTGATCGACGCCTAAAAAGCCAATATATTTTCGCAATTTCTTTTAAGTGTGTGGCCTCCTATATTATTTGCCGCCGATACTGCGATTGCAACATCCTTAAAACAAATAATTAAAAGTTAAATATTAGATTTTAGTGAATTAGCTAACTTGCCGTGACGGTTTCTGCCTTATCTGATGCCCGCCAGGCCTTGTAATTAAATGGGGAAGACTGCACTCGCTTGACTCTCGTTCTATGTTTAAGACAAGTATATTTTTATCGAAATCGAACAACACGTATAATGGCCTACCTACTTCTGCCCCATCTGCTGATGTACTGTAAATTTTCGTTCGCCTTCATAAAGGCTCAAGAAAGGGTCTGCATTGATAACGCTTTATATTGGAAGAGTTTAAAAACAAGTATATTCCTTTCTATGTTTCGACGTTCACAAATGTACGCTTAGGCCACCTCTAGTGGTTGCCACAACGGATTGTGAATATTTCACTGAAGCTTTGTCGAAAGCTGAATTCAGAGGCAGAGCCTTGCTTACATTTATCATTTCCGTTCGCATCTATCATGTTGTAAGTTTCTGCTTGGTTTCTTCTTCACAAAATGCATAGGAAACATTTAACAGCTAAGGGAGCTCACCCTCGCTCTATATTCTACCGGGTTCAAGTGAGAAAAGCGGCACCCGCTTTTAGGGGTTGTGCAAATAAACCACACATCGCCAAAATTTAAAACTTCATGGCAATGCAACGCTAGTGCTAATAAGAGAACACGAAAGTTTGAGATCGCACTACCTTCACCAAAAGAAACGAGAGAAATATTAAATTTCTTTGTGAACCGACGCCTACCAAAGCGAAATATTTGTAAATTCAAGGATATGGGACTGTGGGCGTTTGTTCAATTTATTTAAGAGTTGTCAACAAGTAAAACAATAATAAGGTGGTAAATTGGACAAGTTGGTTGACGTTATATGTGATAGGGAAAACAACTCAGAAAACACAGACTACGAAAATGTACATACACAACATACAGCATTGTCCTTTAGTGTATGTTCCTCTTCGTAGGTTGCGTTTTCTGAGCAGTTTTTCCCGTCAAATAAAGCAATGTTTGCTGTTTTGTTTTTGCTCACAAGTTTATCTATTTATTACTGACACTAATGCTACAGGCATTTAAGATGTTAATTTTTGCTTTTATAATTATTAAGCTCAGGTGGACGTCAGCCCATATTTTTTTTCATCTCCTGCAAGTATGTTATGCAAGTAAGGTCCTGCTTTTAACATTATAGATTATCGCACAATAGCGTCATGTTCTCACTGAGTTCCGGCTTTCTACAATGCAGAATTCATTTATCTGGGCTGAAATCCCGGGGTTTTTTTTCTTGTTTTTATGGGACGTTTTTATTCTATGTTTTGAAACTATTCTTCAATAAGGACTGCAACCGTTTTGATCAGCAGCTGTAACGCAAGACGAGCTCTGTGCAATTCTTTAGATTTCTTTACACTTCATACATACTCGAAGTCTGGAGCCAGGAATATCACAATGTTAACTTGCAAATTTGGAGAACATCTCCTGGGTAAAAAGTACGAAAAACAACCAGAGCGTTTTCAGCTTGTTTTAGAAGGGATCAGTCCAATACAGTTTCAAAGAGCTTCAACACAAGTTGCGATGAATGTCTTTTAATCCCAAGTTCCCATCAACAAAGGGGGGATCGGTGGCCGAGTGGGCTGAAGCGCACACCCAGCTCGACGCGCGTGGAGCGAAAGCTCGCGCTGCAGAACCCAGGGATCCTGGGTTCGAGCCCCACCCCTGCCCGTTTCGATCTGGATGAGCATCGTACCGGCGTGCGGTCGTGTATCACTACTGCGTGGTGCACGTTAAAGACCCCAGGCTAGCGGTTGTACTGCACTGGCTAAATTGCTCATCTACAGTGTAAACCAGTGTCGCCCCTACTGGCAGACCAACCTTACGCTGTATAAATCACTAAACGTCCAATTTGACTTTTTTGATTTTCCCATCAACAAATCTTTCAGCGGGAAACTGAACCAAAATGTCGCATTTCGGAGTTTTTTATTAAAATGCAGGTGAAAGTTTTTTAGGTTTATTCAGGTGACAAAGACATTCTTCAATTTATTTTCAAATGCATGCGCGTGTCTCATCGTACGAGGAGTCATTTATTTTTCGTGCAGTCGCCGACCAAATGAATTTTATTCTCAGGGAATGATACAATAATTTATACTTACCAAACATACTCCCCCATTGGAGCATAGGATGTAATTTGGAACAGTTGTGGCAAGTTGTCGTACGCACTGTTCATTAGTAATTAAGGATATATTTCTTTCCATCAAGGTTTCTGGGTTAAAATGTACCACAAAGCGCTCCAGTTCCGCTGATGACACATCGTTCGTTTCTTCTGCTGAAGTCTTATAATCCACAAAATCTTCGGCGTCTTCGTTCGTTTCGTGTAACGATTCATCCATCTCATAATAATCTGACGAAAATTATAAAACCCAAGATTTTTATTAAGAATGTGCACCGATGAAGAATTTTTCACCGTTCTTTGGGTGGCCTATATTCGATTTGGAATTGTTTAATATTTACAACGCCGAGGCTCATATAACTGAGCGTGTGTACCTAAAGTAAAAATATAAAACTCTACATTTGACAAAAAAAAATTGGAATGAGTATATAGATTTAGCCACGCAAAAAGGAAGACATTGTTTACGAAAGAGTTAGAGGTTCGTAAAAAGTGTATGCAATACAAACAGGCTTTTAAAAAAATAGTAAAAAGAATACGTTTTGGATTTTAGTTTTCTATAATATGTTGGGTCCAATACAGAATTAAACTTGCCTTGATCATTCTAAAAAAAGAAAAACGGTGAACACAGAATGTGTCTAGCGAGAGTCATGCGTGCGTCATGAATTTCCTTACTGGTTGCGGGGAGCTTTGGCTGGTTTCGGATGCAGTGCACACTCAACATACACCTTTGAACTTCGGATTGATCAGAATTATTAAGACAAGTTTAAACTTCTTGAAGAGTAGAGCTCGTTACATGCACGGTTTAATGATAACATTTTGTTGACTTCTGTTTTTAATGAGCCGGTGTACGGCCTTGAATCTTTAGTACTCTTAAATTTTAAGTATCTGCTTGTGGCAACTCAAGTTAATCACGAGGGAGAAGGTTTATAGCGTCATTTACTCTATCACTTCCTATTTGCCCGAAATTTTGACACGATTGTAAGCTCTGATATTTCTTGATACGTTACGTTTCATAATTGTATAATTAACCAAGGCTGCGTTGAAGGCAAACAGCACGGCAGGAAGAAGAAAAGATGCCTCAAACAAAGCGGAAACTTTATTGCCATAGAATCCATTTATATACGGCCTCCCTGAACAAGAAAGAGAAAGCTACGGAAAAGGAAAAAAAAAAAAAAAAACGCCGATGGCACACTTTTAAGGACAAAACACACGGAACGAACACGATCTGTATCAGGCAGATTGAGCTGAGAAAGATGCTGAAGCTGGATTGCCCAACCCATAGTTTACAGTCCGAACAAACACATACAAAAGAGGTCACCTCACAACCGTGCAGACGACGGCAAAACCAATCCTTTCCTTCACACCAGCTGCCATTCAAAAACTGCCAAGTCGGGTCTGGTTCGCAATCTAATAAGTAACGTAGTCGAAATATCCTGTCCTCACTCTATAGCGGAGTCTATTTAAAATATGCTCAGCCGTCTCAACGAAGTAAAATACTCTAAAAAACGTGTGTCCAAGCAGTTTTGCTGCATAGTTTAAAAAAAAAAAAAGGCTAAAAAATGTTCCGGGCAGGAAAAGCATGCTGTCTTCCCGTTTTTTCTTTGTGTACCCCATAACCTCAAATCTCGCTGAACTTCGGCCCTGTACGGCATTTAGCCTAGACTATACCTTAGAAAGATTGACTCCGTTTACTTCGGACCAATCTAACTGCCAAAAAAAAAAAAGTTTCGCGCGTATTTCAGGGATTGTTTACAAAATCGCATCTGAATGGAAGCGCAGCGTCAATGACCGTTTGACCGAACATAGACGGTGCGTCCACAATAGGGATCCGTATTTGGAGGTTTCAAAGCTCGCACAAGAAAATAACAATTCCGTATCGTTGTGAAATTTGACGTCTTCTGTGTTTTTAACAGACGAAAAGGACCAGAAACATGTCGTAAAAGAGTCAATTGTGAAAGGAAACCATGGAAACGCTGTAGATAAGTTGTTCCTGTGTTTGGAGGCCGTGTAGAAAATATCTCTTAACCTCTAACTTCAGTTTGGGGGGAGGGGGGGGGGGGGAGAATATTTGTAATAAAAATTGTGTAGTTCTCGTGTTTTTTTTTTTTTTTTTGTTGCAAATTTTACGTTTTTGTGTAAACGCGTGTTTTTTAGAATACACGGCTTTGAAGTAGTCTGTTTTGTATGTGTTGTTCGGACTGTGAACTATCGTGTCGATCATCTAGCTTCACCATCTTTTTGACCTCAAACTGACAGATATACTTGACGTTCGTTCTTTGTGTTTTACCCCAGAGTGTATATAATTCGAAAATTTTCCCCTTTTCCTCGGATTCTCCTTTGTCCTTTCTAATTCAAACTATACTTAAAGGGGCAGTGTAATGATTTTAATGTTGCAATAATTGGCAGTTTGCATTTTTTATATTGTTTATGCAAGCCCAAGTGACCTAAAACGCGTCTCCTTTTGCCGAAAAAAATACTATTCTTCTGCGTAATCGCAAAGCAAAAACCAAATTATTTCCGATATGCAGCCGCCTGTCGGGGTTACGCGAACTAAAATGACTGCCGTCTCTGGGGCATACGCGGAAGTCGACAAAACCTGTCCCCCTCCACCGCTACACTCGCCGTCAGGCCCTTGGCGAACCCTCCTTTGTGTCGATCGCGTGCAGCGACCTACGACGATGCTAATCGTCTAAAAGTCCACAATCGCGGAGGAGGCGGCTGGTCTCTGAAGGGAAGACCCAAGGAGAAACTACGTGAACCCCCAGAGTACGTCACTCTAAAGTCGACGTGGAGAGTGGACAGGCACTTTGACCTTCGACTTGTTACATTTTTTTTAATTAGAACTAGTGCTGGCAAGAAAATACGGTTCTCGGCTTTTCATTCCATAGGTGACGCAGATTAATTTCCGCAGTTAATTGGCCAAACTCTGAAAATTGTCGCGCAGCCCCTTTAAAGGGATTCTGTTGCAATAAAATGTGAGCCGTGTTCGAAACTTCTTTCCATCTTCCTGTTGTTTTGTGTCATCACCGCGGTCTCAGGTAATTCTACAATTATGAACTTGCAGCAGCTTCCTTGCACCCTCACCTTTCATCTTTCACCCGTGGTGCCGTAATTACACATAAGGAGGTAGAGGCTTTACATACGAACCAGCTACGGGCGCCGACTGTCACCCATAGACTAAGTGTGACGGACTAAGTATCACTCGCCGCCAACGGTGGCCTGTGGACTCCGTTTGACTTTAAGTCCCACCACAGCCACCGACAGAGCCGATCAAGCAGTACCAAAACTGCATTCTCAGAGTGCTAATCGCCTTTACTGGTTTCGTATCACAGACTAAACCAATCACGTTCAAATAAGGCTCGATGAGCCTGCGGTTTTTATCTTGCGCATCACAAAACTTATTGGGCATCAACGACTTCCGAATGTCCGAAAATACCTGAACAACAATAGACATCGCAATGTTTCCTGAGAATATTTAAGATGACAGTCATACACTATCGAAAGGCAGTAATTAATATTTTGGACGCGTACAGTTTTTATTCCGCGGCTCTACAGGCTCTTTGCATCGAATTCTGTAGGCCAGATTCGCAAAATATTGATTTCTGCTTTTGCTGACAAAATATCTTAATCTTCTCAGTTGCGGTAATTGCCTTTTATCGCAGAATAAAAAAAAAAAAGATGAATGTCATTAAAGTCGCGGTTATTTTCAAGTCTGAGCATAAAAACAACCAATTAAATTACAGACCCCTTCCTGTGCTGAAAGTGTTTCGAAAATTGCTATAGACAAAAACACACGCCAGATGATGCACCTTTCGATAAAAGAACTCTGTCCTAACACATTTCCAATTGGTTTTAGGAAAGAGAATTCGACGGAAATCGCGCTATTAAAACAAAAATAACTAGTTTTAAACAATGTCGAAAATAAATTGATTACCTTGGGGTCTTCATTGAATTTCAGTCTTTCAACCACCTAAACCATTAAAATCTGCTTCTAAAATTAAATGCATGCGGGATGCAAGGAGTAGCCTCAACGATGATTGAGAGTATATTTTTTTTAAGTATCAGCATCAGTGTGTCGTGATACATAGTCAGTAATCTAGCTTAAGGAAATTCACGTCAGTGGCGCCGCAGGTGAGTTTCCTTGGACTTCTGTTTAACTTGTACATAAATAACTCAGTAAATATTGACGACAGTCTAGGTTTTATAAGTAAAGCAGACAACACTAGTTTATTCTTGTTGGGTGAATTTGTCCACCAGGTTTCATGTACGGCAAATAGCTTCCTGCGGAAGATAAGTTGCTGGAAAATCTCAAACTGTCTTGTAATTAATACAAATAAGACGATTGAAATACTTTTTGTATCCAAGAATAGTGTGTTCATATTATCAAGGGCTTTCTCTGTAAGAACGGAATACTGATTTTGTACAAATGTGAAGGCACTCGGTGTAATATTTAATGAGTACATGAGCAGGGACGCCAAAGTGCAGTCTATAGATCGCAGACATTCAAAAGATGTTGCCATTTTTCACGAATGGCGACATATATATATTACACCTTTCGGTCCTAGTCCTTCTTTATAACTCCCTGTTTCATTCTTGCTATAATTACTGCTTTATTGCTTAGGGTAGCACAACTACAAATATGCATCACTGCAGGTGTTCCAGAAGAGAATCATACGAATTATGTGCAATGCGGAGTCCAACGCTCCCACATTACAACATTTCAAAAACCTTCAAATAGTTCCAATTACAAAGCATTACAATTATAAACTTCTAACATATCGAATGTCTGTAATGCAAAATAAACTTCTTTTTTTTTATCAATCACCAATATCAAGCGGAGGGTGCGTGCAGATGCAAGGCGTTGCGTTGACACGTGGTCAGCTTCTCGCTCAAGATGAGGCTACGGCCTCCAGATGCTGCAGTTCTCGTTGCCTGATGTCATGAATATGTACGCATAGATTTGGCAAGGATTTCATGATGTTGAGCAGAAGGGATATTCGTTTTTCGATTCTCTAATGTAGTGGCCCGCGCTAGCGTGACTCAAAATGTTATTTTAAACTTATGTTTACTTTTCGTTTTGAGCGGGAGCACCACGCCGCGTGCTCACGCTCTGCTGAGCGCGTAATTAAAGAGTTCGATTCCCGATGCCGTAGTGGTCTGAAGTTCCTACATATACCTTTATCTGTGTCTATTATGATTGGACCTTTGACCTTCAAGAAATGCTTGTAATGCATCTCAGGTCATTTTCGCTTTAATCTTGTGTTTTGCTTTTATGTAAACTTTGCTGTACGGATCATGAGTCTGTAAAATAGTTCACATTGTTGCTGGTGAGGATGAGAAACTCTGTCACTCCACAACAGTCTGTTTTTTTTTCTCTCTCTCCTTCTCTCCTGCAGAGAATCAAGAAAGTTGTAAGTTGAAAGTTGAAAATAAATTTATGATACTTCCTTGAAAACGTTTCATTCCACGGAATGTCCCAGAATGTTGGCCGCGGGATAAGCTTAGCCTATGATAGCAAACTTACAAAGAAAACGATGGCCTTGATTTCGCACTGCTTATAGTGCTTGTCTGGCTCCACTGGATCATAGTGACGGCTATTATCTAATTTAAGCATAATTAGGTTGGTATAACTGGCAGCCGACGACCATCTGCGGAGTATATAGGGTAAGCATAATGAACTAAGCATGACGCCACAAACTCTCACGATCTCAGTATGAAGGACTAAGCATGACTCGCCTCCGACGGTTGCCTGCACACTAATTTCGCTTTACTAAGCATGCCTTACTGCCGACGATGGTCTGTAGACTCAGTATGCTGGACTACGTATAACAGACCGGCGACTTGAGGTTACGGACTAAGTATGATGGACAAGATATGAATCGCCACCAATGGTCGTCTGCGGCTATCATGCTGGACCAAGTTAACTCGCCTCCGACGGCTGCTTATATACTAAGTTCGCTAAACTAAATTTGAGTGTACACATAATGTTGCCTGAAAACTGCTGGACAAAGTATGACTTTCCGCCGACAGTCACCTGTGGAATAAGGATTATGGACTTAGTATTGTTCGCTGCCGACGGTCGCCGGTGAACGAAGTACTCTGGACACATAATCGTGCAGCACTAATTCTTTCTCAAGACTATATGAAATAACACAAACAAGTGATATTAAGTTGTTTTGACAATTTGCATTCATTTCATTGCTCTAGCTGCAAAAATTAGTTTAGTTACGCACCAAACATTCGGTGAACACCTTTGAAACTGCGAGTTGTGCTGTGATGAACGCCCTGTACTCTGAGAACCCGACTTGCGTCAAGGTTAACTTTCTTGATGCTGATTTTTGCAATGACTCTATGATCATGCATGTAAATTTCATACAAAAAGGTTAAATTTTGGTCAATTATCAGTTTAAAAACTTTGTCGGCGACGTCTGTGTTAAGAGTTAAGTTAGTCGATGACATTCACAGCCATCATTATGATATGAACGAGCGTGCTGCCGTGTCTCTTGAAATATTGTGTGTATAAAGGCATTTCATAGTATTGGTTTGGAATATACATGATATAAAATATCCACTCGATATTACATACATACATATAAGATCTAATATAGTGACTGTGCCAATAAGGACATTCTTTGTTTTATCGCTAGTTCCCGTTTTTTCAAATTGGATATATCCACATCGCCGATCAATAAACACTAACATGTAAAAAACATCAACTTTGCATCAGATATTTCAAAAACTAGCGTGTGCCTCCACGCCGTTCCAAAGAAATAGTTTAAGGGAATATATGGAAGCACCCGCATTTGGTTGCATTTTGTTAGCATTTAAGCATCCGCGGCCTCTCATTGACAGGAATCTGTCGCGTACTGCAGGAAACTATTTAATTGAGAGGCTTGAGTTTTCTATTTTCTTAAACATTTGTCGTTCTTTCTGATTTGTTTACTATAATTGTCAACTAGAACAAAATAACACGAGAATACCATTTACCATAAACTCGGCCCCAGCCCACACCATAGATGCTGGCATTTGGAGGCGGTTCTTCGTAGTGTTCAGGAAGGCAGATTGGCCGAATATACGTTGTAAAATTGACCGGTTCTTTTAGTTTCAATAGTGCAAGGTCTTTCTGTAAAATAGATAGGTTAATTTTATCAAATACAAATTCAGTTTTTTTAAAACAAGAATACATACCATAAAAAGGGTACAGTTGTCCTGAAGGGGTACACAGACGTAATCCACTTCAATGCAAACAACCTTATCTTTCAGATCCTCATGGACGACAGTTGCGTCACTTGTTCCTAGATGGAAATTTTTGCCCGTGTTGCGTTGACAATGTACGGTATGATTGTTTTTTTTCGTACTTCCCAGGCGTACTGAAAGAAAGTCTGTATTGGTCTTGTCCCTTGAAAGTTTAGGGAAATGGAAGAAGAACGGCGAAAATATGTATTTGATGTTGAACTGCTGAAGTCAATGTCAAAACACAAAATGCCTCCACCATTTCAAATGATGTATTAAATACAAAACAAAAACGGTTAGTGAGTTCACGACGACATATCTTTAAGTCCTGATAACTATAGAATAGAAGAAACATGTACTATAGTAATTACCGAGGGTTCCTTCTAAGACGGAGGAAAAAACTGCGGCAGCACTTTGATAACAACTGAACTCCTCACACGCAGAAAATGTATTTTTCGGGGTCAGTTACTCTCGGAGGAATTATTAAAAAATTGAGATTAATACAGCTACTTCCGACAAAACCGCAATAATTATCGCCAATAAAAATCGCGGTCACATCACATAATTAAACTGTTATTGTCTTTAGTATCCAGAGTTTTTCTTAAAGCAAGCAGTGAAATCCACATTGACGTGGTTTTTGCACGTGAGTCGCACGAGGGAGACATATATATCAGTCTAATCGTCACGATATTTAAAACAAAAATTAATTTAAATACGATTTGTGTATGAACTTAATAATTAGTGAAAAGAAACATATGCTTTCAGTTATAAACTTGGCGAGCGTCATCGAGAGCCATTTCTTCATCAAATTTTAGAAAAAGTGGAAAGCGCGGGTGTGAATTAGGTGCGCGACGTTGTCGTTATATATACTCTTGCTTTCGCGCTACTATTCGCGACTCGAACTAAACAAACGGCGCCTATCGTTCCACATTCGAGCCTACCCAGTGACGGTTTCGCGCTGATTAAAGTTTACGCAACGGGATTGTTGGTTGCGCGGTGGTGAAAGCACGATGCTGTTCCGTGAGGGCCTGAAAGCAGTCGGGGATAGCGTTGCCCCTGCTGCACTAGCTGTATCCTAAACGCACCACCGCGTTTCTCAGGTGCTCGAAGTCTTGCTCACATTGAGTGACTTAATGCTTTGATAACACTCAGCAAGCTTCTCATTGGAACTATGTTTCGTTTCACTAATTACAAATTTATTTGACATATTTTAGTTAATTACTCAACCTTTCGTGAGGCTCAGCCCCGAACATTATGTTCCCCTGGTCGCTTAACTCACCTACATCGAACAAGTTACTCTAGATTTGAATTTCTTTTTTTTTAAACAAATATGTAAAGATTTCTTTCACACCAACCCTCACCCAAAAACGCTTTTGCGTCTAGCATTTGCGTCTCAAATAGGCATCTGGCTTTGTCTCTCATTTTTGCGTCTTGCATTTTTACCTTATTGCCGTCGCCAAAAATGTATTCTACAAAATGCGCGAAATATAGTATGATTTGTTAACGTTATCCATTGCGGTATTGATTTTCACGCATATGTTCAGGTCGCTATTATTCAAATGTGCATTCCTCTAGGTCCGTGCTTTCGGAGCTTAAGCGTTTCATGTTATCCAAATCAATATTTGAAGCACTTTGTTAAAATGTGTTTTATATACATATAAAAAAAGAATTTTTGCAAACAACATTGGAGGCAAATCAGCAAAGCGTCGAACACGCCTCTGGGGGCCCTTCAAATTGACTTGTGTCGTGCTTTCGATCGAGTGGACCATGAATTCTTGTTCGAGATACTAAAACGCATCAACGTAGGCAACGTTTCTCTCGATCGGGTATGCTTACGCTACAATAAAATATCTACCAAAATATTAGTAAAAAAAAGCGAAAAAAATTGCGCACAATGGTCAGTCAGGAAGGGGTGCCCGTTGTACTAACTGCTATTTGCGCTCTACTTACAGCCACTGTGCAAAGCTATCCAAATGGATGAAGGAATCAGAGGGCTTCAACTGCTAACTAAACACCTGAAACTCCAAGCGTTCGCGGATAATGCTTCCGTTATATTTTCTGAAGAGTACGAGCTTTTGAGGGCAATGTACATAATTCCAGAGTTTTGTGCCGTATCGGAGCTCCTGTTAATCTCGACAAATTTACAAGTACTTGGATGAGTAACTGGGTCTTCGCGCCTTTAAACGTGTTAGGGATGAAGTGGTCGCCACCGCTGTAAAAGCACCTTGGCATACCGCTAGCGTTGACGCACCCGAGACGTAAAACATGGTCGGTCAAACTACACAAGATGAGAGCGTTGCACCTACCATGGCGCAAAATACGAATTCTTCTTATCCAGCGAAGCTTTGTGTGTAACGCTGTTCCCTTCCCTGGTTTGATGTACGCGGCCTAGGGTACCCAATCGGCGTCATCACAGTATTGAAGGAACATCGGCTCTTCGCAACATTTGTTTGGAAGTCACCAAGGGAAAAAACGAGGAGCACAACCTTCTTTCTTAACCTCAAGGCTGTGGGATTTGATTGTCGCATGTTGTCCTAAAGTGCAAATAAGTCCGCTTTTTTTGTTTGTTTGTGTTCTTGTTTGGAGAATGAAAGGAATAATGAAATTACGCGGTGGCCATTCCAGAGCCTTGGGAGCGGGCACCATAGCCAGTGGGTGGTTTGCATATCGGAGCAACCAAGAGCAGCTCAGTGCCTACGATTATATAAGGAAATCGCCAAAGCGATCGAATGCTTCGAGTCAGGGTACTCGTGGGAGTATCTCCATCAAGTGAAAAAGGAAAAACTCTAGGGACACAGTCAGCAGCACATGTCCAGCTCCTTTTTACAGAAACGGTTCCGAATCATCCGGTGGAAAAGATTTCCTTATGCGATTGCGCAGCCTCCTTGTCTCCTCAAAACCCAAAATATTCTTTATCAGGTTTCACACAGAAACCCTGCCAGTAAACACTTGGTTGGAAAACAAGGGCATCTACGTTCCGATCGGAACCAACTGCAGTTTCTGTGGTGAGCAAAAGACCCTTCCTTGTGTATTTCTGGACTGTAAGGGTGCCTTCTGTTTCTGGGCTGATTTTCGCTATATTTTCTAATGTATCCTTGAGCCAAGCTGGGAATCTCTCAAGTTTTAGTGCTTTGTTGCGGAACTGAGAGCGTATTTTGAGTCGTTGGTTGCGATAGCTCTCCACGCGCTGTGGCCGGACACTGCATGAGACGGCAGCGCGTGTGCGGAAAACCGCGTGGCAGCTGTTTCGGGAGAGGGCAGAGTGAACACTGAGCGCAGGTAGCACAGCACCATATGACGTCAACAACGTCTAGACCAATATAAAGCAGCAATTAAAAACATTGTCGTGGCCCGCAAAGAAAAGCTTCCTAGCACAATATATGTTAGAATACGGGTGGGTGCGCCTAAGTAGGCCAAGTAAGACATGGCCAAGTCAATGGTTGCACACAGTGCAACCATTGACTTGGCCATGTCACTGGTATGTACCAAGAAACAAACTTCTTTCACAAAAAGTTACAAAAAAGAGAAAACGGATGGTGTATATTGTGTCAGGCTCACAACCGACGGGTCGTGCTTTGATCCCGCTCCGCCTGAAATTATTCCATTTTTTTTTTCTTTGAGGTGATTGAGTCACTAATTGAGCGCTCCCGATTTTGCAGTCCCACCAAGACCGGATTTTTTGTGACACGAGCTTTTTAAACCCATCGCTCTAAAGTCGAAGCGGGTCGCGAAATAGGCCACCGCTCATCCGTCAGCAGGCATTTTGAACGGGTAGAATAAAAAAGATCAATAACTTTTACTACACGCCGCGACACCTTGGGTTTGCGCACATGTACCGCAGCCGTCAAAGCGTTAGAATCGTAATTCACTCACATGCGGCAGTAACCCTGTTATATTCTTTTGATTAAAAAGAGTGATCGCCGATCGACTTCATCTGCGCCAATACTGTAGCTTTTTTTTTTTTATGTGACCCTGGCCCAACATAATATATTTGAACTTTGTTGCGGGTGTCTACAAATAAGAGTTTTATATTTTTTTGCATGGTTGTTTTTGTTTTTGTTTGTGCGCAATTACTTGGTATATCTACCGCGTGTAAACTATTTAAAGGCCCTTTACACTGGCCGAAAAAATAGGCTTCTCAAAATCTCACGCTGCAATTTAATACAGAGGCACAAGCAAGCGGAGGAAGCTACCAGTAAAAAAAAAAAATGAAAGAGGTTTACAATCTCCTGTAACGCGCAGCTCTCGAGGCGGAGGAGGAGAAGGTACGGAGAGCGGGTTATGCCCCTCCTCCTCATCCGTACCTTCCCCTCATCCTCGCCTGCTCCCTTCCCATTTAGTGGGAAAATTTCGCGCTGTATGCCCCGCTAATTTACTGGGAAAAATTTCCCCGCTAAATTTAGTGGGCAATTTTCGTTCGCATAAATTTGCAAGAATTTTTTTCCGCTAAATTTAGAGGGGAATGCTTTCCGCTAAATTTAGCGTCACAATTTCTACGCTAAAATTAGCAGGAAATATTTTCCCGCTAAATTTAGCGGGAAATTTTTATCATTAAATTTATCGCGGAATTTTTCTCCTAAATTTAGCGGGGATATCTTTTCAGCAAAATTTAGCGGGAAAGTTTTTCTCTAAATTTAGCAGGGACATTTTTCAGCTGCATTTTGCGGGGAATTCGTTCCGCTAAAATTAGCAGGGATTTTTTTTGCTAAATTTAGCGGGGAAATTTTTCTGCTACATTTAGCGGGGATATCTTTTCAGCAAAATTTAGCGGGAACGTTTTTCTCTAAATTTAGCAGGGACATTTTTTAGCTGCATTTTGCGGGGAATTCGTTCCGCTAAAATTAGCAGGGATTTTTTTCCTAAATTTAGCGGGGAAATTATTTAGCTGACTTTAGCGAGGAAATTGTTCCGCGATATTTATCACGGAGTTTCTTCCCTATTGAAAAACACAGCTTAAGCTGGTCCCAGCTTCAACCAGAATTATTGCCCCAGCATGCCCAGCCTGGCATACTGGTCATGGTGGTTGATCTGGTTATTCTGGTCATGTTTGGTGATCTGGATCCAGCTTCAAGCCGCGTTATTGCACCAGCATTCCCAGTTGGTCATGCTGGTCATGCTCGTTAAACTGGTCATGCTGGTGGACTTCCCCACGAGCTTAACCTGTTT